CCCAGGCCACTGCGGCCTTAGCGTTTTGCGAGCACCGTTCTCGGATTCACGGCCTCGCGTGGTGTGCATCCTGCGGAGCAGCGTCGCGGCCAGATGTCCATCCAGACATAGCCTGAGCCCGGCGCCGACGCCCTCTCGCTGCAACGATCATCGTCTTGGAGCCGCAGCCGTACCATGAGTAGCGCCGCAGTCGGCTCCGTATTGTGCCCCCGAGTGGGTGCGCGACCTCCTCTCGGACATCCGCACCAGCAACTGCAAGACCAGCCTGCCGGAGCAGAGCATGCGTCGGTGAGCTCTCGGCCCCAGGACCGCCAGCGAGGTCCAGGAGTGCCAGCACCAGCCTCGCCGACGGGCGGCTCGTCGCGGTGCGAGGGTTGCGCAGTGGAGCCATCACCGCCGCTGCTCGAGCCGCCGTCAACACCAAGCTCGAGGACATCGAAGCGCGGAGATCGCCAGCCCCAAAGCCCAGGCCAGCCCACTGCATCCACCGCGCGCGGCTCGAGCAGCTCTGCGGGCGCGGCGCCCGGCGCCGTGCAGCTTCCGGGAGCCGCCGCCTGCCACGACGGAGGAGTGCAGGAGGTGGGCCGGGGCCTTCCCCGGGTCCTCGACACGCTGTCGGCATGCACGGCATCGGCAATCCATCCAGCACCCTCTGCCCACGACCCTGCTCGAGCAGACTCCGCCGCAGTTCAGGGGCCCTGGCAAGCGCTGCCTCCTCGTAGTGCGCACAGCCACGGGCGTCAAGAGCGTCTCCGACGCCTTCCGCGCCCACGAACTCAAAAAGATCGGCTCGCACTCCTCGCAGCGGCAAGTGGTCCGCATCCGCTAGGCGTTGTCGGCGGACGTTCGCGTTGAGCAGCAAGCGGCCAGCTACATCTGCTGCCGGGCCCCTAAGTTGCTTCAGGAATATGTCCGCTCCCTCGCTGCATAGAAATTCGGATTCAGTGGACATCAGGACTCATACACCTCTAGGAGGTGACAGTGACGTCTGGGAGCCCTTCCACTTCAAGGGCTCGGGGCAGAAACGTCGGATGTGTTCAAGTACCTTGCTACATAATGCGATATCCTCCTTCAAAAGACGCGGGGGCCCTGAGGACCTGGGAGAGCTCGTGCGTTTTGTTTTCAGTGGTTGGATCCTTCGAGGCACCGTCTTTCAAGCCTGGTGTGCTGCAACCGCACTCGTCATGATCGCCCCTTGCGTCGCGGGGTGCTTCCAGATCGTCACGTGCCCAGGCAATTTGCACTGATCGCATAGGTCCGTTGTTCCAGGGGGTAGCAAGGATCACTGGATGTCATACGCCTTCACCTCGACCCTGTGCTTTTTCACTCTTGCTTGCGGCACAGTCTGCTGGCGATCAGACGTCGCCTTGCTGACCCCATGGAAGTATGCGGTATTCTTAGGCGTGGTTTCAACTTCGAGGAGGTGGGGGAAGGGAGACTTCGGATGAGGAGTTCTAGTGTGGAGTTTCGGCATGGTCACTGTGGGAGATCTTCTGAACAGACGTTCCCGAATATCACTTAGGCTGGCCCAAACAGCTTTATCCATAAACCAATCATTGGAGGGAGGATTGCTTCCCTCGGGGGACTGCATCGCCTGTGCATTTCTAGGCTTGCCCGTCAGGGATTGGACCTGACCCCCACGACTGCCGTCTTCTGGAAGATCACCCAACCAACCACTCCGAGCGACTGCAACCCTGTGCTCATTTCGCTGAATGTCCGTGCTCACTCTGTTCGCCCTGCTGTGCCGAGGTGTGCAACTCGCCAACAACTACCTGTCGAAGCTTTCTGTTCTCCCTCTGCGAGGAGACTGACGTTTCCCACCCCTTCCGCTGACCAAAAATAATCGGTATCAAAGAGCGGATATATGAAGCCACGCGTCGGGCCATGTTTGACTCGCAGCGTCTCGGTAATACCAGCACGCCCGAGGAATACGCATCGCGATGTTCAGCAGTGATCCACCGTGCTCTCCGCGTTTTTCTTGTCATCCGCGAGTTTCTGGCGCGGTCTCCTAGTGGACCATCTTGACCAGATTCGCTGGTTATTGCGCCAACATGGCCCCCGAGGCCAGGACATGGACGAAGCAAGACTTCGAGAAGTCGGCAACACAGCTCCTTTCCTGATAAGTCCGATCTTTGAGCGCCCAGTCAGACGGGCGCGATCGCTGCAGCCTCCATGATGCCTGAACCGCGCAGATTTGGCCACATTCCTCGGACTCCGGCGAACCACTGGGCAGGGCGACGCATGCTTGGCTGCGCATGATTCGGCCCACTGTCTGGGCTCAGGTGAGCCTTGTGTGTTACTTTTTCATTGTCATGCCGTTGGGCTCGCTGGCACGCTCTGTCTCGGAGCTCCCGGCGCTGAAAACGACCCTGAGGGCCTTGGATTCGCTTGCGACACCGTGTGCAATGCGTTTCCGTTCCAGGTCTGGCGTGTCGCCCTTCGTGCCATAGACTTGGCGCGCGCTTTCCTGGGACGCGTCCCCGGGGCCATGGGATCGGTCCACCCATAGGAAAGCGGGATGGTGGTGGATCTTGGTGGCTTGGCTTGGCTCTTGGAGGCATCTGCGGATTAATAATTTCTTTTGATAAGAAATTAAATGTTCACCGCGGATGCTTGATGTGGACCAGGCATTATCTTTGATCCCAGCGTTCGCTATTTTCTTTATTCTGTGGCTCTCGTTTCCCTTTTTCTCTTTAAGAAAGGAAGAGCCCCCTTTTCAGCTTCTCGTGGCCCCGGGTTTCGAGGGATGGTGGATGTCTTGGTCTAGCGTGTCCGGTTTTTGGGGGCCTTGAGACATCTCGCCTCCATCACGCGTCGCCACCAATCACTAGAGTAAACGGGGGTGAGGAGGGACTCTGGCTCGTCGTAGGCCGTGCAGGATCTCTGCATTGCATAAATTCGGGAGACGGCTGCTGGCCGGTAAAACGCTCGCCGCTGGCTGTATCACAAGGCCATGGTCGATTACAATGGCGAGGCAGTGGGTGACCGGCATCGAGTTGTTGAAGCGAGTGCTCTGGTTAGTGCGGCCGGCATCGAGTGGAACCCTTATATACGTTTGCGATGTTGGTGGTTCGTTTGTGTTTGATGGGTCGTCTTCATGGGGGATGGGAAACAGCAAACAGAGAGGAGGAACAAAGAAAGGCGAGGAACAATGAGGATGAAAGGAATATTGATGATGATGATGATGATGATGACGATGATGATGATGATGATGATGATGATGATGATGATGATGATGATGATTATGATTATGATTATGATTATGATGATTATGCTGATGATGGTTGTGGTGGTGGTGGCGATGCTGATGGTGGTTGGTTTCTTTATGACGATGATGCTTCTGAAAAGAGTGAGGAGGATGTGGAGGAGGAGGAGGAGGGAGGGAGGAGGGATGAAAGGGGAAGGATGAGAGAAAGGCTTGAAGGAATACTGGCACTATGACCGGCCCGACCCTCCTCGCCTCTAGACCGACGACGAAGTCGACGATTGACGTGCGAGGATGTCGTGGCGGGAGCGGAGGGGCGAGAGGGAGAGGGGAGGGGGAGGAATGGACGAGGAGGAGGAGAAGGACCGAGGGAGGAGGAGCCACCGAAGAGGAAGAGGGATAAAGGCAAGGGCGAGCCTGACGCTCCTTCCCTGCCCCGCCCTCAGCCGCCCCTTCGACCATGGATTGGTGGAAGTGCAGAGAGAGCCACTGGAAGAGGAGGGCGAGGTGGACGAGGGCGAGGTCGAGGAGGACGAGGAGGAGAGCAAGAACGAGGAGAAACTCTATCTACAGGAGAAACAGAAAGCAGAAAAGAGAGGGGAAGAACGAAGCAGGAGAAGAGCCAAGAAAGGAACACAGATAAACAGGATGTGGGGCAGGAGGAGCTGTCTGAAC